CATCCATGAAAGAAAGAATTGATAAGCTGGACTTGGTTAAAATTAAAAGTTCCTGCTCTGTAAAAGACACTGTATTTCACTGAATGAAAAATCAAGCCACAAACTGGGAGAAAGTACTTGCAAAAAAGATAACTGATAAAGGACTGCAACCCAAAATATACAAAGAAATCCTAAAATTCAACAAAAAGAAAACAACCAACCCAATTAAAGCATGTGTCAAAGGCTTTAATAGACACCTCACCAATAAAGATATATGGATGGCAAATAAGCATATAAAAAGATGCTTCACATTATATGTTATCAGGTAAATGCAAATGAAAACAAAGAGATACCACTACACATCTATTAGAATGGCTAAAATCTGGAATACTGACAACATCAAATGCAGGTGAAGATGTGGAGCAACAGGAACTCCCATTCATTGTTCCTGGGAATGCAAAATGGTCCAGTGACTGTGGAAGACAATGTGGTGGTTTCTTACAAAACTAAATATATTTTTACTATGCAATTCAGCAATGGTGGTTTTGGTATTTCCCCGAAGGAGCTGAAAATGTATGTCCACATAAAAACCTGCACACAGATGTTTATAGCAGCTTTATTCATAATTTCCAAAACTTAAAAGCAACTAAGATGACCTACAGTAGGTGAAAGAATACATAAACTGTGGTATATCCAGACAATGGAATATTATTTAGTGATTAAGAGAACAAAGCTATCAAGCCATGAAAAGACATGGAAGAAACTTAAATGCATATTACTAAGTGAAAAATGGCAATCTGAGACGACTGCACACTCTATGATTCCAACTATATGACATTCTGGAAAAAGAAAAACTATGGAAACAATAAAAAAATCAGTGGTTTCCAGTTGGTGGAGAGGAGAAATGAAAAGGCAGAGCACAGAGGATTTTTAGGGCAGTGAAAATACTCTGTGTGATATTATAATGATGGATATATGTTATTATACATGTGTCCAAACATATGTAATATACAACACCAAGAATTAACACTAAGGTAAACTACGGATTTAGACTGCTTATTATATGTTAATGTAGGTTCATCCCTAGTAAAAAGTGTACCATTCTGATGAATGATATTGATAATGAGGGAGGCTATGCATGTGTGGGGGCAAGGAATATATGGGAAATCTCTGTACCTTCCTCTCAGTTTTATTGTAAACCAAATACTGCTCTAAAAAATTGTCTTTAAAAATTTTTTAAACTTCAAGAGAAATTATCTTTCAAAAATTATAACTAAAGTACAAATTTCACTATCCGGGTTCTTTCAAAAAAAAAGAAAAAAGGAACTGAGGGATGATCCCACATGAATAGTAATGCATATTTGCATTCTGTCAACATTTTCTGACTCAGTTATGCTGCATCACTTCCTGAAGTCATGGACAGACCAACCATGTAGAGAGCCAACCTGTTAGGCACGCTATCAGGGGCATGTGTGCCTTATGTAATGAGTCTGTGCTCATCCCTGACATTTCTTTATTTTGCTAGAGTTTGAATACCTAGGTCAAAATTTAGTGAACATTTTTAATGTTTTTAATACATTTTTCTTCAAATTTTTTCAATAATTGTTCCCGTTAACACTCCCACTATCAAGTTTTGACTGTGTAATTCACCAAGCACATGCTTATCCTGCATACTATTGTTTTTAACACCACATTTGCTGATTTGATAGGGCAAAAGGTTGTCTTCTCTTTTGTTTTTGCCACATGTTATGGCAGCCACAGAGGCCTACTGCTTGGATTTTTAGTTGACTCCCTCCAGTTGAAGCATCCTTAAGACTGCTTTTAGGATTCAAGCGGAAGCCCTGCTCTTCCCAGGCACAACGAAGCCAATGACTAAGTACGGCAGGTTGTGTTAAGGCTTGGCCATTTATGCACAACATGGGACTCCTGTTAATAGAAATCTTTGCTCCAGGGACCCCCATGGGTTTCGCCAGGATGCTGTCAAATCTGCTTTGCCTTATCTTGCTTCCTCTCCTCTTAATTTGCACGGGTATCAGATCTGCATCACAGCAAGCTGGGCTTCCCTGCCTAATCCTGTTTCATGCCTGTTATGGACTGAATGTCTGTGTCCCTCCCAAAAGTCACAGGTAATCCCCAATGTGGTGGTTATTTGGAGGTGGGGGTAGGGAAGGGTAATTAGATTATGAAAGTGAAGCCTTCATAAATAGTATTAGTGCCCATATGAAAAGAGGCCAAAGAGCTAGCTTGCTCTCTTTCCATGAAGATACAAGAAGTCAGCCATCTGCCATGGAGAAAAGGGCCCTCACCAGAATCCAACTATGCTGGCACCCTAATCTCAGACTTCCAGCCTCTGGAACCGAGAGAAATAAATTTCTGTTTCTTATAAGCCACCCAGTTTATGGTATTCTGTTACAGCAGCCAGAACTGACTAAGACAGTGCTTCTTTTATCTTTCAGAGTCATTAACCCCAATAAGCCACTTGTTCTCCCAACTCTGTCTCAGGGTTTATTTCCCAGAGGACACAAGTGACACATACCTTTTGGTCACCAGTAAGGGTATTTACTTTCCATTTGCTTACAAAATAAAAAATCCAAATACTCAATGGTCTTTGTACATTTTTTTCTATCTTTTTCTAATACAAAATTTTAAAAGTCTTCTTAATCTGTTTCTATAAAGCACTTTTACCCTCCCCCACCACAAACACACACATGCACACACACACACTCATACCAGTCTCAAATTTTTTTTAAAGAAGAGAGAAAAGGCCTGAGAGAGTCAAATTTAGATTCTACGGGAACAACTTACATGCTGGTTTCACTTGAATATACTCAAGTGTAAGTATGTAGGCATTTACACAAAAATGTTTACATTTCACCTATACATATTTATCTTTCAGTAAAAGAACTTGGGCTGACTCTCTATTGATTATTGAATTTACCTCTACTTTGTTCTGCATTGTCTGCGTTAGTTAAAAACTTTAACTTCATTCAACCAATAATTATTAAGCAACTACTATGTACATTCTTCAAGTATCATTTCTCTCCATTACATTTTCCACAACAGTATCAGAATAATCTTTGTAAAATATAAACCTGATAATTTTGTATCTGGCAAACTGGAAATGATAAAGCTAAAATGAATGCATGCTGAAATAGACACTCATTATGGTGGGTAAAAATGTAAATATTAAGTGTTTCTGACAATATTTAACTAAGCAAATGGCAATATACATCAATGAGGCTTAAAAGTGCCCAGATCATCTGACCTGGTAGAGGGCTTTCATCATTGATACCTCATGGTAATTTATTTTTGAGACATAAATTATTTAAATGGCATGACTATGCTTCCTTGTATTTATGTTGAAAATAAGAATCTGTCTTCCTGAATGGATTGTGAGATAGTTGCAGGCTGAGATTAACCTTTGTGAATTTGTCTCCTTATATTTAATTCAGTGCCTGGCACATAGAGAATGCTGAATGGGTATTTGCTGGATTAATATCTATATTGTACTGAGGATAGTGAACAAAAAGATCCAAGTAACAAAGAGTCAAGGAGCGAAGGAGAAAATGATTCAACTCCACTTAAGCAATCCACATATTTCTGTTTTACGGAAGCCCTTATACCGTAATTATTGCGTATGAATAGTGCCATTCAAAAATATCTAACAATGGCTTCGAAATTAAGGACCTGGATGTGCGTCCCAATTCTGCTCCCAACTCTGTCACTGTGACTTTGGCCAAGTAAGAGGACATCTCCAGATTTTTTCTTTTTCCTTAAAATCCAGGGATGACTACCTTCTTTATCACTTCCCCAGGGTCATCAAGGAGCCCAAATGAGATGATGTTTATGACATGCTTCCTTCTTCACTGGGGAAGAATACATAATTATGTCTCTAATTAACATGTTTAGAAGAGTTCTTTCCTGTTTCTAAATCTAAATTCAATTTTAAGGCATGACCTATTTATGTATAAATGTACTTTTTCTCATTTTTACATGCATGAATATTTCACTCTTTGAATTAAAACAAAAGCAGAGTGAAGCTTTAAAATTTTAATTTAATTAATAATTGACTTAATGGTAAGACAAGGAAATTTATCTCAATAATACTGAAAACTCATAAATCAAAGAAATGATATTACATGTGTATGTAGCTATATACTTATATACTATATATACTTTTATATACTATATATATTTTTCTTTTTGGAAATATGCAGACAAAACCACCAGATATGGAAGAAAAATACACATAAAAGATATGGTTATTTATAATAATTTTTAAATGTGCTACCAAAAAAACCTCTACAAGATTATAAAAAGTCTGACAAGATGGCTTTACTCTCTTAATATCTTGTTAAAATTAAAACAATATAAAGATATATCTTCATTTACAAAAACTATTATTTTAAGAAGTTAATTTCCAAATCAGTAAAGAAAGATTTTTCTTTTAATAACTTAATGGTTTCTAAAATCTGTACCACCAGACTCAGCATATTGGCTGGGTTTAATATCGGCAATAATAATATCTTCATAAAGAACTCTAGTGGGTAGATATCAGTATCCTGTTTTTTTGATATTTATCGCTTCATCTGATCTTCATCATCACACTATGAGGTAGGTTCCATACTCACTTCATAGATGTAGGAGTCGAAACTTAGACAAACTTCTAAATGTTTCTTGCCAAGCATCACACAGCCAATAAGTAACCAAATTTATTTTTAAATCTTATATTTAATTCTGTCTGATCTATAAGCACAGTTTTTCCCCAGGATGACAAATGGTGCCACGCCATCTGTTAAACAGGTGATATTCTACAAAGGGTCTGCGATTTGTTTTAATCAGTATCAAAATGATTGTTGGGCTTGCCATGTACCTCACATTGCACAGGAACAACATATTCAAATATTATTGATACAGGCAGTGAAGTACTTAACCATAACGTTTCATAATCCAAATCGCAAGAAAAGTATTTCCCTGAAGCAATAACATGGTAAATAGAATTTAAAATTCAGGCCACAAACCTGTTTCAGGCTCAATGGAAAAATAAGGCTGCCCTTCCAAGATACTATAAACCAACTTTGCACTGTTTCCATAAACTGGGTCATCGGCATCCGTAGCTGTTACATTAGTGACAGACGTACCTAAAAAAAAAAAGAGAGAGAGAGGGAGAAAGATAAGAATTAACACGTTATTCTTTGCCAAAAGCTAAATTTTGCCAAGTATATCATACAGAAATCCATGTGTGGGAATAAGGAGGAAATTAAATCTCTTTAAAAATATGAAGATAAACTACTCTCATAACTTCAACAATATCCAAGTCTTTTTAAAAAAAAAAAAGAGTACTGCTGGGTTGGAGTACTATATAAAGATAGCTCTTTTAGGGTCTTTATTACTTAAGATTACTTTGTAGTTTTCATTTTAAAGATACCTATCAGATTCATGTGGGCTTGGAGAATATGCAAAGGGAACATATCAAAGGAATATGAAACATAAGGTTAATAGCATGATATAACATGTACCATTTAAGTTTTGCAAAAGCACAACTGAATATACCTGGAAAAATTGGCTGCTGAAAAAAAAGCTGTACAGAAATATCAAAGGAATATTATATCCCATTTTATTTAATTCCTCAGAATATAAAATTAGATTGAAACAACCAATTAATCAGCGTGTTTAGGTAATTAGGCCTTATGGACAATAGAATCAAAATCTTTTTTTTTTCAGATTAATTTTCTATTTTTTATTCATATATTCATTCAGCAATTGAGCACATACAGCTTGCCTGATATGAAGTATGTATATTAAGACAAAATCTATACTCAAGAAGCTTAGTTTGGTGGTAGAAGGGATGAGGAGGGGACAGACAAATATATCTAGAAATTCAGCTGACTGCAAAGCACTGAGTTTGGATCCCTCACTTAGCCCAGCTCACACAGAGTGGTGAGGGACAGCTTTCTGAGAGACACTGCATTTGAGCTAAATTATTAAAGACAGGTAGAGTTTAACCAGGAAAAGAAAGGCAAGGGAGAAATTCTAAGCAATATGTCAAGCATAAGTAAAGGCACTGTAATCTGAGACTGTGGGAAATTCTGGGCACTGTTGAAACTGAGGAGAAACTGGAGAAGTCTGGTGTGGTAACAAGAATCATGTTCTATGAGGGCAGGGTCAATGTCTTCCTTCTCATCCAGTAAATGTTGACATCTGACAAATATTGAACATATATTTGCTAATTGAATGAACAGACAAATGAATAAATTATCTGGTGATTTAATGAGGAATGATAGATAAGTGTCACAGATGAGTCTCCTAGAAAGCAGACTCTGAGATAGAGATTTCTTGCGGAATTTCTACTGGGGAATGCTCTTTGATTAATATCTATGGGGAAATAGGAAGGACAACATTGGCAGAAGGAGCACTTGGCCTGTGATGCAGTCACAGCAAAGGCTTCAGTGGACTTCTCTGGGGGATCTAGAGCTGGGATGGTCATCAAGGAAATGGGATGAGGTCTTTATACTCCAGCCTTGAGCAGTTAGTTATTGGATGTAGGAACTCCCCTTGAGAATGGAGCCTTGGCCTTGGGCCAGGAGCTCTCTTCAGCTGAGGGATCATCAGCCCTGAGCCATCAATAACCAACACTCCCAGCAGCCAGAGGAAGAGTGTTTTCAACCCGAAGGGGGTCAGGGGTGGATCTGAGCAGCATACCTCTGTGTTTACTGAAATCAGTAGAGTTTTGGCAAGATCTTGCCAATCAAAATCTTTTTGAAGTGTTTTGAATTGCAGTCACTATACAGGAAACTATAACAATAATATTTGTTGAGCAGTGGATAGTTCTGTAGAATTGGACTTTCTGCTCAGAATGATGAGTCAGAGGTTCTACAAAATCTATAGTTAGGGAAAAAATGCGCTGAATGTCAATTGTCGATTGTGTGACACATCTCACCAGACACTGGGAACAATATCAAAAAAAAAAAGAAGACTCACTTTCACAAGTAACCTATCAACTGTCCGGTGAAAATGAGCACAATGAAACTACAATATTTGTAGTTATTTGAAGATTGTGCGGGATGGAGTAGAATTGGAGGAAAAACCTTCCAGGTGAGAGGAGGATAGTGAGATAAAAGTGCCAAAAAATTTTAGGAAGAGAGATGACTAGAGAAGTCAGTCATCAAAGCTAAGGTTGGAGAAGCAAGCTGAGAACAGAGGACGGGGGCATTTGAATGCCAAGATGGGGAGTGTTGGCTTTATCCTGTAGGGAATAGAGAAAATATTTCAGTGAGAGACCAATCTTATGTTGTGGGCCTCTTGCTGTTAGCGCACCTAGATTAAATTGGAGGTAGAGATGTAAAAGATTAGGAGATCAGACTAGTTATGAGGTTACAGCAGTCCAGTTAAAAGGTGATAAAACATAATACTGGGTAATGACAATAAAAATGGATATCAGTGCTAATTTTCTTGTTTTGATACTTATACTAAGTTTATGAAAGATGGTAAACTGAGTGAGGGGTATGCAGAAACTATTTTTGCAACTTCTCTCTAAGTCTAAAATTGGTTCAGAAAAAGTTAAAGAAAAAAGAATGAATAGCAAGAAAAAAATTCAAGAGTTACTGCAAGAACTGACGGTTCAGAGACTGATGAGAAAGGGCGAACACTTCCATGCAGAAGACCACGCAACAATTTTTTGCTTTGCTTTGTTCTGTTGTCTTGTGCATTTATTTTGACTTTTTTTTAGGAGAAATGGTTTTCCCCTATTATGAAGGAGCATATATTACCAGAAAATAAAGTCAAGATCTATACTCAGTATGATGTTAACTTAAGGAGC